TTTTTTTTTTTTTTTTTTTCCCAGTACTGGAAATCGAACTCACAACCTTGCACTTGCCAGGCAGGCGCTGTGCTGCTGAGCTAAATTCCCAGCCCCTGGCTTGATCTTGATTTCCTTGTTCGCTGGGCCTTCCGTGGGACCGCTGTCCTCTGATTCTCCCCAGAGGAAATCTACCCCATTGCAGCGGTGGGACACCCATGCTCAGGCCTCAGGCGTTGCTAAGGGCACTACTGAACATCCTAGCTGACTGCTCCAACACCAGAAGAGGACCTTTTACTGTCTGTTTTCGTTTGTTTGTTGCTACCGGGGATTGAACTCAGGACTTTGTGCTTGCCAGACAGGTGCTTATGCCACTGAGCTATACCCCCAGCTCAGTTTGTTTTGTTTTTTGAGACAGGACCTTGCTGGGTACTTGGCTGGCCTAGAACTTGAGGTGATCCTCCTGCCTCAGTCTCCCAAGTGCTGGGAATACAAGTATGCACCACCATGCCCACCTCTCAACAGGTAGTTCTTTTTTTTTTTTTTTTTTTGGTTTTGGCTTTTCTCTGGTGCCGGGAACCGAACTCACGACCTTGCGATTGCCAGGCAGGCGCTTTTTGCCACTGAGCTAAATCCCCAGCCCCTCAACAGGTAGTTCTGAATAAAGTGGTTTCGGGCCACTCGACCCGAGTTTGAAGAGCGAGTGACATTGTCCCTGCGGCCGGGCGGAGGCCACCGGCCGGTTACTCACGCTCCCTGGCTGTGGCGTCCTGCCCTTGAGCATTTTGGTCTGGAGCGGCAGTTCTAGACAGGTTAGTGTCCTGACTCAGCTGTAGGGCTTGGGAGGCGCCTTGCTCCCTGCCCCACGCCTGGCCTGCACCTGGAGAGCCGGAGGAGCAGGGCCGGCGGAAACCCAGGCGCCTCACCAGCCTGGCATCCGCCGGCCCCCAAACAGCTGGGTGCCCAGGGGGAGGATGACCAGCCCCGGCAGCCGCCTGGCACCCAGCCTGGTAGGGGAGCTGGCAGGGCAGGGCCGCAGCAGGGTGTGGTGGCTGCTCTCGAAGCTCCAAGGCCTGTGCAGACATCTGGCTGGCTCAGGACAGCCAGATGTGCTGACAGATGTGGACGGACCCAAAGTACAGGCAGCGGAGCCTCTGGGGGCCAGAGGATTTGGGGAGCAACCGAGCAGATGAGAGAATGGGTGGATGGAGACTTCACATTCATGATCCCTGAAATGCAGATAAGTAGGGAGGCAGCCGGAGAATTACAAAGTGTGACCCAAAATTATGGTGAATAGTTAAAGTGTTTTACAGTAAAAGACACACTGCCATCCCCTCAAAATCCTCTCCCTCTCTTTGCACACGCTCATCCCATTGTTCTGGCCACTTTCTGCAGCAGCTCTGGAGTTCTCCTTCCTGAATGAAGGAGAACTTTAGTTGGGCTGTCGTGGCTGCCTCAGTGTCCTGAACTGGTTCAAAACATTGACCTTTCATGGTCATTTTGACTTTGGGAAGAATCAGGGGTCACGCAGTGCAGATCCAGGGAATAAAATGGATGAGGACCCAGTGTCATGTTTTTTTTTTTTTGTGAGGGTTTTTTTTTTGTGTGTGTGTGTCTTTTTGAGACAGGGTCTCACTATGTAGGCTGGTCTTGAGCTCACTTTGTAGCCCAGTCTGGTCTCGAATTTGCAGCAATCCTCCTGCCTCAGCCTCCCAAGTGCTGGGATTACAGGCATGCGCCACCACGCCCAGCCGTCATGTTTTTATGAGCCGTCTTCCCATTGGACGGCACTCAGCAGCACCACTCACTGTACCTTTGGTCACACTTTGAGAAGACACTCAGGAAAGAGGACTCCAGAGCTGCTGCGGAAAGAGGTGAGAACAGTGGGATGAGTGTGTGCAAAATGGGGCGAGGACTTGCAGAGGGATGCATGGAAAGGTGTTTTTTACTGTAGTAAATTTGTTATCTGCAAACAAAA